GTAAACAGGGGAGAGTAAGAACTCCTTCCTCACGAGTGGCAGGAAGCTTGCACAGGGTTTCCCCCATGAAGCATAGTGTGTAGCACACCGTCACACATATCGAAGACACTTTTGGTCCTTAACACTGTTTGCTTCATCTGGAGCTCAGAATCAGTCATTGGAAGGTGAGAGCTGCAGAATCCCAGGAAGTTCCCGCCCCCATTTCCTTCTAGTTCATTACCTTTGCAGCACCCAAAGACACACCGAAGGCCAATGGCAAAGTGTGCCTGGGACTGTGCCCTCTAGGGGGAGACTCAGGGGTGATACAAAGAAATATCTGAGGGGTCATTTATTTGGTGGCTCCTGAATGTGGGTTCTCAGAATGGCTGGCAAGTTTTTAAGCATGATCCTCCTCTTAATCCTACATGCAGCCTCCTCTTAATCCTACAGAGCCCTGTGTTCAGAGAGAGCCAGTGGAAATGCTGTTCTCAGGGTATCCAAACTGTCAGCCCCCATGTACTTACCCAGGGGTCTTCTTCCCGAGATGTGCCCACGGAACTAATTCTTGAGGTTTGTATCAGAGTTCATGTTTAGCTACCCAGAACAGGAAGTATCAGGCTTGCTCTGTCAACCTGGTTTTAGATTTCTTTTGCTTATACAGTAATCCGGTGTCTTCAGAGGCCTAGACCCCATTTCTAAGAAAGACTTAAGTTTTTTCTTAGGTGTATAATGTTTGTCTGTCTGTGTCTGTGCCTGTGTGTGTAGGTACACACAGTACAAAGGTTTAAAGACAGGTACAGGAGGCAACTTGGTGGGTTGGAGACAAGGGGAACCACAAAGTCACACCATGCAATAGAACTCACATAAGAGGTTTACTGGGGACAGGAAGGGGTGTAGAGGTGGTCTCTGAGCGAGAGCCGAAGGAAAAGAGAGCAGAGCAGAAAGTGGTTCTGAAAGGGGGAGGGGTGTCATTGTGTAGCTCTGGCTGTCTGAGAACTCTACGGAGACAAGATTGTCTTCTGACTCACAGAGATCGGCCTGTCTCAGCCTCCTGAGTCCTGGGATCAAAGGTGTGTGTCACGTCTCCTCCTAGCGAGTGTTCTTAACGGCTGATGTGTCTCTCCAGCTTCATCTTTCTCTCTTCAGCAGCCATTAGAATGACCCTTGCCTTTGCTTATTGCTTCAGGGTTGCAAAATAGCTGCATCATCTCCATCTTCACATTTGTGTTTCAGAGAAGAACGAGTACAGTGAATCAGGAAAGAGTTCCCATTCACTTCTGATCTCCTTAGCAACGTCCTAAGACAGTCATATCCAGAAACAGGCTAAAACTGTCAAACTAGATCATGATCCAAATCCGGGTGGAGTCCAGTGGGTGAAAGTTGGGTGTGTCCAGACTGGCATGTCGTGACCTCAGACCAGAGTATGGTGCATTCATCAAGGAGGACCGAGACAGGGGTGACAATTAGCACTCTGTACCCCATTGATCCGAGGCTAATCAAAAGCCAAGAAAACACAGTGAGGCCCAAGCTCTGTCATCCACAGAACACACAAACTCTTACCTGGAAACCACCTGGGCTCCTGGGTCCTGTGTACAGGATTCTGTAGATATTGGACCCAGACTATCATGGCTGGTGGATGTTGTGGCTGGTAGCATCCCCTTGATGAATCTTTGTCTGACAGAGGAGCCTTAGGACACTATAAAACTCCCAACTGCCTCTGGCTGGCACCCTCAGGGTGCTTGCACATAGGAAGGGTTAGGGAACTAGAGCTCCCACTCCTTAGGTTGCCCCTGGGGACCAAAGTTGTATCCTCCATGGCTGTCCAAGAACCTGGCCACAGTCAGCCCTCATGTATCAGTGAAGCTGCCTTTCCAGTCCTTTCCTTTCCCCTTCTGCCTTCCTTCTATATTCTCCCAAGGGCACCCTTGCCATAAATTACTCATGTACAAACCCCCTCCTTGGTCCCCACCTCCAGGGACCCAGTTTGAGGTGCCACTAAGTGACTCAGGGGGCCACTCTATTTCTCTTTCCAGGGGTGTTCAGCCTGTTAGATTCCCTAGGCCACATTGTCATCTAGAAGTTTGTGCTAGAAAACCTTGAAATTGAGTTGTTAAATTTTCAATAATACGTCATGTTTTAAGGTTATAACTCTTTCTTGGGCCACATTCATACCTATCCTAGACCACCTGTGCCCTACAGGCTACAGTTGGACACCCCTCAAATCCTCTTCCTCTGTCCCACTCACAGCCACTGGTGTGTTCCTGGGGTGTGGGACAGGGTCATCTTGCACTATAGTGTCGCCGTTGGGGCCTGCTTCCCCAAGTTCTGTCCGTGCATGCATGTGTACCTGTCACAGCCTGTTGTGGAGGGCAGGGGACAACCTTGGGTCCCTTGTTTGGGGCTGCACACACTAGGTTAGCTTAGCTCACACACTTGTCAGGACTCTCCTGTCTACTCCCATCTCTCCACTGGAGTACCAGGATTGCAGATGTGTCCTACTGTGTTTGGCTTTAAGTGAGCTCTAGGGATCTGAACTCGGCTTCCTCCTCTTACACAGCAAGCATTTTACCCACTGAGCCATCTCTCCAGCCTTGGAGGAGTTTCCCACCAGGCCTCAAGCTGAGGCCGCCAACACAGAGCATGGTTCTTTAGAATGCTGGTCTGCATTTCTAGTCCAGGAACTCTAAGCGGAGGTGTGCATGCTCGTAGGCTGGGGCGGGGGTGCATGCGTGCCTGTGTGTGTGTGTGTGTGTGTGTGTGTGTGTGTGTGTGTGTGTGTTTCCATCCTGTGGTAGTGGCAGCTGGGGTATTTATAGCTGGATCCACAGGGCCATTCTCACGTGGCTACAGAAAATGAGAACCTCATGTGGAGTTTGTTTTTCCTCTCGGCCTGCGCCATCCAGCCATCCATCTCCCTTAAAGCCTCTGCTGTAACCAGAGCCCCCAGCATGGCTACCATGCAGAGGTTATGTAAATTCCCATCTCATGGAAAAGTGCCTGTTCTCTTCAGTCAGGCCACAGGCAAAGGAGGGGGACTGCTGGGGAGAGCTTGTGGGCGGCACTGGAGGGCAGCTCCACCCAGCCCCGAACTCCATGCATTCTCCCTGGATGAACTTCATGGAATGTGGGTCCTTGGATCGCCTCATGTCCCCCAGCATGTGTGAACCCCTTAGAAAGGAAATGACTTCTTAGTCCTCAAGCCCAAGCTTACTGTGTGGCCAAGGATGACCCTGAACTTCTACCCAGTCCTCTTACCCCTACCTCCTAAGTGCTAGCATTACAGACGTGTGCCACCGTGCCTACTTTCTGTGATGCTATCATTACAGACATGTGCCACCGTGCCTACTTTCTGTGATGCTATCATTACAGACATGTGCCACCGTGCCTACTTTCTGTGATGCTATCATTACAGACATGTGCCACCGTGCCTACTTTCTGTGATGCTGGGCATTGAACTCAGGGTTCTGTGTGTGCCGGGGGAGCACTGAGCCCCATCCTATTTGTTTTCATTTTGTTGTGTTCTTAGGTCTGTTCCGTTCATGTTTTGCCTTTTCCATCAGACTAAAGACCCTCCCAAAAGGCTGTGCTCCACCTTCCTGGGTCACCAGGGCTTCTGGGTGGGGACAGGAGTCGCTTAGACTCCCCTTTCCCCAGGACAGTTTCCCAGAGCCGTCCGGTTCTGCAGCATGCTTTATCTATCCTGTAGGAAGCTCTAGGCTTCAGCCAGATGCTTTACACTGAGCATCTTTATGCTGAAGACCCCAGGGATCCAGCGACTCTACAGTTTCACTCAGGAGCGTCAACCTGCACATCCACATTACGTATCTAATGTGAGGTGGCAGAGGCTGGGACATGGGGGGGAGACTGGCTGAGCACAGGGTTAGACAGCTTGAGAAGAAGAGAGCATCCATTTGGCCGTCCTGCCCAGGGCCTACACCGCCTTGTTTGTGCCGTGCTCAGTGAGCCTACATCAAGGGCCCTGAAGACTATCCCGGAATTCGCCCCAAGAGCCCCCAGCACTCTTCAGAAGCCACTCTGCATATACTGGGCTGGGCACTTGCTCGCCTCGGCATACCTCCTGCTACAGCCCTGCGGGGACTGTGAGCACCCTTTACAGAAGAGGAAACTGAGGTCCTGAGATTGTAAGGACTTGCCTGGTCAAGAAACATACAGCCCAGCAGAAACTTTAGACAAGACGAGCCTGACTCCAGGACCCCCATAGGTCACAACCATCTCCATTTGTGGTGAATTTGACCTTCCGCTCCTGCTGCATGTAGAACTCCGAGGCTCTCCCTGCTGCATATAGAACTCTGAGGCTCTCCCTGCTGCATGTAGAACTCTGAGGCTCTAGTCTGATCAGCTGAGCCAGGCAGCTTCCGAGTGTGGGCTCAGGACTGGGCTGGCTACATGCTTGAACCGTCTGACTGTGTCTCACCCTGCTACCCTCGGCTCTGCCTCCAACACCCTTCTCACCCCCCACCCCCGCTGCTGTGAGCCCCAAGGCTTTCTAGAACAAGAGCAGAGCCAGTCATTCATTAATCCTTGTCCTGCTTCCAAGAATCTCAACTACACAAGAATTCCTCATTGAACAGCCAGGCATTCTTGGGGAGCGTGTGTGTCACCAAGACAGCGAGAGGCTCAGCTCTGGGAAGCAGCCATGGGCCTGGCCAGGAAACTAATGTGGACTTCAGAGCCAGGAGGAAGTGGATTGACTCTCCCTGAGCCCCCTCTCCAACTGCCACCCCCTCTCTAACCACAACTGGGAACTAGCCTTCCCAGGTCATCTGAGGGCACTAGCCAAGCCAATGGCATTTTCTTCTGGAACGGAGAAGCATCTCATGGCAAAACTGTTGTGTGCATGCGTGCATACTCGCACCGTGTGTACACTCAGCTCTGTTTACGTCTGGGTCCCTTTCTGTGTAGTTCCTCCCGGTGTGAATGACTCATTGCATGCGGAAGTCTCTGTGAATGATTTGGGGTGGCTGTGAAACCCCAAGCTTGGAACTAAGTAGTGAGCCCAGGCTGCCCTTCGGTGAAGAGAACCATCTTCTCTCACACCCCTGCAGCTCAGCGTACGACACTTCGAGGGTAAACTGAGGCCAGAGGCTCCCAGGAGCGGGTCCAGAGCAGCCTCCTATTGCAGCCATGAGTCAGAAGAAGAGGGTAAGGCCGGTGGGAAGCAGGGAGGGAGTGGAGAGGCGGAAAGCCTTAGGAGAGTGTGCGGGTTTCATCAAAGGCACCATTTCCTCTTGATTATAAAAAGCAAAGCTTGGGCTGTGAGATGGCTCAGTGGGTACAAGGGCTTGCTGCTAAACCTGAAGATCTGAGTTCAATCCCTGGGACCCACATGGTCTTGCAATTCCCGCACTGTTGTGAGAAATACCTAGGTGCTGATGGAAACAGAGTAGCATCCTGGGACTGGAAGGGGTCAGGGTGTTGAGTCTCCACACACGGGAAGGGGTCAGGGTGTTGAGTCTCCACACACGTTCGTTCCTCCTCACTTGGCCGTGTGGCCCAACCAGAGACAGTGACCCCTGCAGTCTTTGCTCTCTCAGTCGATAGGCAATCAAGAAAATGCTTCACAGACATTCCGCAGGCAGGTCTGATGGAGGCTGTCCCTCAGCTGAGGCCCCCCCCCAGGTGACTGTAGTTGTGTCAAGTTGTACTTTTGTCTTTAATGAATGTCGAAACTGCATGCATATGAAAAGAATTATTATTTACTTACTATTTATCTATCTATTTATTCAGTGTGTATGTGGGATGGGGTGGGTCACGTATGTGGAAGTCACAGGACGAGTTTGGAGGGTCATTCTCTCTTCCTACCTTTACATGAAGTCTGAGGATCCAACTCGCTTGGTCAGGCTTACGCTATTACACGGCAAAAGCCTTTACTCTCTGAGCCGTCTCTCAGCAACCCCTCAAGAACTGGTTTAAAGTAAAATTCCCATATCACTAGTTATCAATAAATGTTTGGTTGGTGTACTTGTTTCATACACTTATGGATGGGATCATGTAAAAATTTCTCAGGCAAAGAGGTCAGTGTGTATAAAGCATCTACAAAGCCCTGCACTGGGAAGCCAGATCCCCCCGGTGCACTGTGGTTCCCATGTGAGGGAGCTGCAAGCTGAGCCCTGCCAGCTGGAGTGAACGGGGCACGTTGGAGGACGTAGTCATGCCACTGTTACTTCTTACCACGTAAGCCTTCCTGGCTGGATCCTGTGTGCTAACCTTCTCTCTGCCTTCTCTCTCCTTTTCATATCAGTTGGTGCTAGCTGAAGTCATCCAACAGCTCACAGGGTGACTTGATGCCACTCATGGAGACCCGATTTAGAATTAGTCGGTTGAATCCTGTCCCCCTATTTCAAGTAGGGGACAACAGTTCCCCCAGATGTGGGTGTTTTAGGGCCAGCATCACTAGAGGACACAGTAAAATTGCCAGCTCTGGGGCCCTCCCCCAATTCCTGCATGCAGCTGGGGGCAGCCTAGCAGCTTGAGTACCAACAGGTTCATGGAGAGCCGGGGTACATGTGGAAGTCTGAGAGTCACTGTGCTCTTGAGATTCCAAGGTACAAGAGGGTAGTTGACACTTTTCTCGTCACATCTAGCTGAGTTCCCATTGCCATGAAGGTAGAGCTTTAGTAGGGCTGGGGAGATGACTCAGGAGTCAGAGCTCTTGGGTTTGAATTCTGCCTCTATGTGTCACTCATTATACAGGTATCGCTCTTCTGGGTCTCTTGCCCCTAATACAGGGTGGTCTCTAGTACAACTGTAAGTATGTTCAAGGAGACATGCATGCTAATTAGCTTAATGGTGCCTGACACACAGTCAACCCACAGCAAATGTCAGATACTATTAATTGTTCCATGCAAAACATCTCTCTCTCAATACAGTGGAATTTTAAGCTCCAGTCCCTGACCCTGACTTACACACACACACACACACACACACACACACACACACACAGTGCCCCAGAGTTTTTGATCATGGCTAACTTCACAGTGGTTTGGGAGAGAGACTGCAGTGTTTATGTTATAGCCGTGCAAGCAATTTGAAAGGGGATACTAGAGATCTTTATTCTAAAAGAGATGGTTTTGGCCAAAAGGCGTGGCATCCAGCCCTCCCCCTCTCCCTTTGGTGCTTGCCAGCAACTCCCCAAACATGCCCCTCTGTTTATCACACTGGGAGTGAGGGTCTCTTTGTTTCCCAGCTCAACTCCTAAACCATGCTTCTCTTCACTCTGCAAACCTAAAGACAACTTCTAAGTAATGACCCACAGCTCTAGAGAAGACAGCGACCATGGCATTTAGTTCCTCCTGCTACGAACCCCACCCTTCTGCCTAATGCTCTCCAGCATGGTCAGTTTTGGTGTGTCTGTGTCTTTATGTGTACACATTTTCCCAGGGAAGGATATCATTTTCTAAGCCTTCTTCTAACCTTTGTGCCCTTATAAACAAGAACTTAGGACTAGGGAGATAGCTCATTTGATCCTTGACACTCCCACAACCCCCAAAATATGGTGGCACATGCTTGTGATCCCAGCTCTGGGAAGGCAACGACAGGCAGATCCCCCAGGCTCACTGACCAGCCAGCTCACCCTAGTCAGAGAGCCCAATGGGAGAGTCCAGTGAGAGGCCCTGCCTCCAGAACAAGGTGAATGGACATGGGGGAGCAATACCAGAAGATTGCTCATTGACTTACACACACACACACACACACACACACACACACACACACACACTGGGATTTATTTTCAATCAGAATTTTTATCTTGGGCCAGATAATCTTTATAGCATGTGCATGGCAGGGAGGGGAGCTGTAATTGTAAAATAACTAGTAGCATCCCTATCTTGTATGCCAGCGATATGGAACATTCTGTGGCTGTGACAGCTTCAAACGTCTCCAGACACTGACCAGTGGCCACTGGGAGTGTGTGTGTAGGGATGGAGGGGAATGCAATGAGGAAGTGCCCCCAGCTGGAAGCCATGGCAAGCTAAACTCTTCCTATAATAGATGGGGCCTGCTGCATCTTATGCTGCCCCAGAGTTTATCTCTGCAGTGTGTTTAAGATTAGGGACAGGATGTATCCACTGATAAGAAAGATATAGGGTGCCTGCTGTCTCTGGGTCACCCTTGACTTCCAAGAAGCAGGCTTCTTGTTGGGTGGACGTACTCCCCACCCACCCGGAGCCCTCTGCAGACAGTCTGCTCCGTGGCCAGATCCCACTCTGGTCCTCTTGACCTTCCTCATGCAGCAAGAAGTCTCTCAGGGAATGGCCTCTGTTTGCAGCTTATAAATATCCATCAAACCATTTCTAGTACCAAGTATTTTTTTAACCGTGTTTAACATTCTTTTCCAAGTGGAAAGTTCTGTGTTTTTGGAAAGCTGCTCATTCCAGAGCCAGGTCAGAGTCCCCAGTAGAACTCAGAGAATGTCCTAGGGACATTTCGCCATTGAGATTGCCGTTGGTGGCCTTGACACAACTGTGGTTGGATTCTGGGCCAAGACTCCCAGGCCCACAAGACAGAGAGAGAGGGAGGCCGTGCATCTACAGCAAGGGCCGTGGACGCAGAGATCAAACCCTTTTATGGAGGACTGCATAGGCGGGTCAGTGGGTAAGAGCACTTGCCGGGTTCTAGAGAACCTTAGTTCATTCTCAGCACCCATAGTGGGTGGCTCACAATGGCCCATAACTCTAGCCCCAGCTAGTCTGACACCGCCTTTCATGCCCCACCGATTCCTGTATACATGTGACACAGACTGTCTCACACACACACACACCGAGGCTACACACACTCTTGGATGCCTCTCTACACACTGTCACATCTCAGTAAGACAACTAGCGTGCCAGTAAGTGTAAGATTGGTTGTGTTTGGTAATGTACAATCCCCGCATTCCAGTGACTTGAAACAACAGCCATCCATTTTTCACTCATCCACAGCAGGGCTCTGCTCATGATAGCCACTTGGGAACCAAGGCTGCCTTATCAGGTGCCACTCTAAAGGTGGATGAAGGATGTACCCAGGCAGTGACAGCCTGGTCTGAATACTTATAAATGGAGGCCTGGCTAGCCCTTCACGGCAATCTGGGCAACCCAGCCCCTAAAGCGTAGAGTTAGCACTATGTCCCCTGGCCATGGAGTAGATGGAGTAGCCTGTCTGCAGAGAGTGGGGCCTGGAGGGGAGTACGTCCACCCACCACGAAGGCTGCTTCTTGGAAGTCAAGGGTGACCCAGAGACAGCAGGCACCCTATATCTTTTGACACTTCTGAGTCCTGTCAGGCCACCTGTTATGAAGATGGACCAGGTGCTGTAAGATCACAGGTGCCTTGTGGGGTAATAACACAGGTGCTGTAAGATCACAGGTGCCTTGTGGGATAATAACAAGTATCATGGGCTGCCCCAATCTACAAGCATTCTTGGTGCTAAGTACCAGGAGAGAAAAATGAACAGACTTCTCATTTGTCAGCTAAAATCTTGTGTTAGCCAGGCTTCTCAAGAAGAGCAGGAAGAATAGAATCTGCTGTTTACCCATCTGCCTAGATTTACTTAATGGAATCAGACTGCAGAGCGGAGGTTGACTGGAGACCCATAGATGGGCCCATGTTGAAGCTCATGTCTGAAGGCAGCTTGGGTGCAGTGTTCCCTCTAAATGGGATAAATGGGATGACCTTAGCCTTTTCCCTTTAAAAGTCTTCTAAAACTTTGTATTTTGTTTTGAAGTGTGTGTGTGTGTGTGTGTGTGTGTGTGTGTGTGTGTGTGTGTGTGTGTGTGTGTGTGTGTGTGTGTGTGTGTGTGATGGTCTATATAAGCTAGGAGAAGGCATTGGATCTCCTGGACCTGGAATAGTTCTGAGCTTCCTGACCTGGGAGCTGGGAACCAAACTCAGGTCCTCTGAAAGAGCAGCACCCAAACCACTGAGCCATCTTTCCCGTTCCTCACCTATGTCTTTTAGCTTCTCAGAAAGGATCTACAGGAACCATGGAGGGTACCCTGCTTTATTCCAAGTCTGTGGATTTCAATGCTGAGCCTGTGTAAAAGTCCTCTCATAGCAACATCTGGACTGGTGTTTGACCTATATCTGGGCCCATGCATAGCCAAATTGACACACAAAATTAACCATCACAGTTTCCAATTCCTACTCAGTTTATGGGGCAGAATTGGT